GGTAGTAAAGCTGTTTCATCTGGGGATGTAGCTCAGTGGTATAGCGCATGCTTCGCATGTGTGAGGTCCTGGGTTCAATGCCGAGCATCTCCACAGACTTTTAAAAATTAATTTCAGCAAAACGGTTTCAATGTGGTACTGTACTGTTACCACATCTGGAATTAATTGCATTTGTAAACCTACAGAAGCAGAAAAAAACTTGTTGTACCTCAGTGGTAGAAAATGTGCCTTTCAACTGGGGATGTAGCTCAGTGGTAGAGTGCACAGTGGTAGAAAAGGTCCTTCCACCTGGGGATGTAGCTCAGTGGTAGAAAAGTTTTTCAACAGGGGATGTAGCTCAGTGGTAGAGTGCATGCTTTGCATGTATGTGGTCCTGGGTTCAATCCCCAGCATCTCCACAGACTGTTAAAATTTAATTTCAGCAAAACGGTTTCAATTTGGTCCTCTAGCGTTACCACATCTGAATTTAATAGCATTTGAAAACCTACAATATCAGAAAAAAACTTGTTGTACCTCAGTGGTAGAAAAGGTCCTTCCACCTGGGCATGTAGCTCAGTGGTAGAAAGCATGCTTTGCATGTATGAGGTCGTGGGTTCAATTCCCACCATCTCCACAGACTGTTAAAATTTAATTTCTGCAAAATTTATAAGAGTCAAATTCCCTAAGGACGTGGTGTCACTTCCATACAACACCAGTTTAGAAACAGAGGAAGGAACACAGTTTTTCAGAGTCATTTATGATCAGCAAGTAAAAATATGTAGAATATGTTCAAGTGCTGAACATGAAAAGAAAGACTGCCCTCAACTAACGTGCAGAGAATGCCTGGAGCAGGGGCATTATGCGCAGGACTCTACAGCCCCACGGTGCCAAGGCTGCAGAAAGGCATTGCTAAGATGCATATGTGAAACAGATGAAAAGGAACATGAGGAAATGGAGATGGAGACGCATAATGAAGTGGAGTATTTGGAGGAGGCTTATGAAGAAAATGCATCACAACAAACAGGTGGATTAACAAAGGATATACTGAGCAGTGAAGGAGAAGAAGAAGAAGAAGAGGAAGCAAGTGAGAATGAGCAGGATGGAGAAGAAGAGGTGATGACTGGACTACAACTATCTGTGGACAATGTGGAGCAGGATGTGATGGAAAATAAAGAAGATAGTGATGGAACAAAGGACAGTACAACCCCGGAAGAGGTAAGCGACACTGGGGAGAAAAGAAAAAAGATTTGTGGAAAGAAAAGTTTTTGAGCAGGGGGACTAAAGTGAAAAAAACAGGACAAATAAACATTGAAAAGGTCTTCGAAATACAAAGAATAAGAAGAGAATCTAAAGACAGAAAAAGGAAGAAAGCTGAGATGATTGCTTTAAAAGATGTTGATCTGAGAGAGACTGAACAAAAGTGATGTGGGTTTTGTTTTGTATTTATATCTTTTTTCTTTTGTTTATGAGTCAACTGAATCTAGTGTCAATCAATGTAAGAGGATTGTCAACTAGGACTAAATTTGAAAATGTAATTTATTTAACAAAGAAGAGTGATATAATATGTATACAAGAGACTGGATGGAATGAAGACATTGTTAATGGCTTTAAGAAAATATGGGATGGAGAAATGTTTTACAATAATGACCCAAATAGGAAAAAAGGAGTAGCAATTTTAATTAGAAGGGGAGCGACAGAACAAGCAACAGAAATGTTCACAGATCATATAGGAAGATTATTGGTAATTAAAGTCGAAAGCAAAGAAGAAGAATTAACAATATGTACTATTCATGCACCAAATGAACGTTTAGAAAGAGTCACCTTTTTTTAAAGAATTAAGTGTTTTAATGGATGGTTATACAAATGTGATTATAATTGGGGATTTTAATACTATTTTGGAAAGAATTGATGTGGAGGATTACATGGTATATAGAGCAGATGTGGGGAGAACTGAATTAAAGAAAATGATGGAAAAACACCAATTTTTAGACATATGGAGGGAAAGAAATAGAGTAAAAAGAGAATATTCCAGAAGGCAAATTGTGAACACAGTCTTAAAGCAAAGTAGACTTGATTTGGTTTTATGTAACAGACAGTTAGAACTGTTCATCTCAAAAGTATTTTATAAAAAGTTTAGTGAAAGTGATCATGATTTTTTAAATGTAATCGTTGATTTTAGTGGAGTTGAGAGAGGTCCAGGGGTATGAGTTTTCAATGCAGAACTTTTAAAAAACGAGTCTTACAAAATGGAAATAGAAAATGTTATAATAAATAGTATAAACAATATCCTATATGAAGAAGCAAAAAGCGTATGGTGGGATAACTTGAAAAAAGCTATTAAAAAAATATCCATTGAATATTCAAAAAGAATGCAAAAAACAAAGAAAAGTAAAGAAAGATTTTGAAATAAGGAATGGGAAGAAGAAATGAAAAAAGTGTCCGAAGGAAAGATGGATGGCTTAACATCTGAGTTTTACAAGGTTTTTAAAAATGTTTTAACACCTATTCTGCACAATTTATTTGAAAAAATTGAGTGAAAGCTTGAAGAAAGGAATAATAAAAATCATCTATAAGAATAAAGGGGATAAAGAAGATCTTAACAATTACAGACCGTTGAGTATGCTAAATACTGACTATAAGATTTTGGCTAAGATCTTGGCAAATAGATTGAAAAAAGTGATTCCAAATATTATAACAACAACTCAGGCATATGGTGTCTTAAATAGAGATATATCAGACATAGTAACAAATATTAGAGACCTAATGTGGTATATGAAAGAAAAAGGTGAAGGAGGATATTTAATTAGCATAGATTTGGAAAAAGCTTTCGACAGAGTAGAGCATAAATATTTGTTTGACTTAATTGAAAAATTTGAATATACTTCAAATGCAAGGCTGTGCATGTATGACATTTGTGTAATTTTAATTAAAAAAAATAAAATAAAAAAAAGCACATGCTTTGCATGTATGAGGTCCTGGGTTCAATCCCCAGCATCTCCAAGCACTGTTTGTGAATTTCATACAAAGAATTTCAAGCAATCCTTAAGAGTTCCCTCTACTGGACTTTATAGCAATTATAGCAACACAAAGAAAATATGCGTTGCAACTGGGGATGTACCTCAGTGGTAGAGGTTGTGCTTTGCATGTATGAGGTTCTGGGTTCAATCCCCAGCGTCTCCACAGACAGTTAAAATTTAATTTCAGCAAAACGGTTTCAATTTGGTCTAGTGGCGTTACCACGTCTGGGGCCTCATTTATAAAATGTGCGTACGCACAGATTTGATCTTAGAGTGTGTGTACACTAAAATCAACGGCAACGTTCATATTTATATAAACGGTCTTTGACGTGGAAAAGTACTTACTGCCACGTCAGGGTCTGAGCAGGCGTACGCACTTTTCCTTGTGGCAAAGTCGGAGTAATGCAGCTATTTGAACATCTAAGCTGCAATAATAATAAAAGCGGTGTATGTGCAAGCACCGAATTCATCATAAACAACAAAGAAGCAATGTAAGAGATTAACTGTGCAGTGTAGTCAGACTTTTTATTAACGGGAGTTTTTGCGAGATTAAACTGACCTTTTTAGTAGCCTAATGTTGAGAGTTCTTTA